TTTTAGGGTTATAAGGATTTGTCCTTTTGTATTCTTGCTTCTTAAAGTTATACATCTTTGTTTTTAAATATATGATCATACTTTTATTTTATAGCTTTTACTGTGAATTATCTACATTGTATTTTATACATACATATATGTATATATGCATGTGTATGTCCTGACAAATTGTACTTTATGTGTATGCCATATTAGCCCCATATTGATTGTGTATAAGGGAGGCAGTTCATATAATGATAAATTTTGTAATGTTGCAGGCATGTTGATATGTCAAGGTAAGAAATTTGTTATCGGAAAATGTGTATGAGTACTTAGGTGCTGTTTTGATTGTAATGAGGGAAATGTCATACAAATTTAAGACTTTACCTCTGTAACCTCAGCTCTAGTCAATATTTTTGTTGTTTCCTTAGCATGGCCTGCTATTTTTAAGAAAGCAAAAAACAAAGGCATCTGCATCCAAATGTGTTGTCAGACCAGTTGCCTGAAATTGCCTTTTTGAACAGTTGGCCTGAGAACATCTTTGGGTGTGCCTAGGCTCCTATGTTTTCTTGAAATTTGTCAGATTTGTTATCAAAGCATGATCTTGAATGTTCTCTCACATTATATGTTCTCATGCATTATATTAAAATTCTCATCACTGAAATGTATTACAAACACAGGTTGTAATCTAAAGTTATAACACCTCTGACGCATACAATCGATCTGATGGCCTCCTCAAGGAGCTTTTATTATAATTTGTTGATTTTTTTTTCTTATATTGCAGTGTTTGTTTGAGGAGTTGAACTCTCTGACATAACCATAACTCTGTATATATAAGTTCTAAGGAAAACATGTAGTAGTCTGTCCATATGTAATAGAATAAGGATGATCAATTTGACTTTTTGAGGGTCAGTAAAAGTAAAAGCATATGGATCCTATACCTGTTTAGTTGTGATGCTGTTTGGATTGAACATTCACATTTTCTAATTATATGAAACTGTTATTTTAGTTTATGATAAGATTCCATTGTTCTAGTCAGTTATTCAGGATAAGTGGTCAGAAAAAAAAAAATGACAGGTGAGTGGTTGTCATTATTAGGTCAGTTACAGAAGAAAAAAACATATTGTTTAGAATTACAGCAACTAATTGTTTGGCCGTGTTATGTGCCTGACAGGAAGTATATTAATGATCATTCAGACTGTAGGTAATCTCAGACAATATAAAATAATACAATACTAGACATTCACTTTTACAAATCTTGACTGAACTAAATGATGAATTGAAATCCATGTGTAGATGTCAAGGTTTATTTTGTTTCTCAGAATATATCTGATTTACTAGTCATTGGATTAGGATTATTTATAATCAGGAAGAGAACAATGCAGTATTAGAACAGTTCTAAGTGGTTTCATTAATTTCTTGTGCCAGAACAAAAAGTGTGATAGAAATGTAAAAAGTTAAGACAGATGATATACATTGGTATCAGATATATCATTAACATGAGATTGCCAGTGGATGTCCTCAGTTTCTCAGTCCAAGAGGATACTAGCCTGATGTGGAGCCACTTATTGTTAGCTAAACAGATTGCCACTATAATGAATATGGCATTCAGGTATGTAGATGGATGACTATATCTAAAATCTGGGCTAAAAAAGGAAGTTGTCTAACACAAGTTTCAATATCTTCCAAGACCCAAACTACTGTCACAGAGCACTCATGCAATATTAGCTACCACTACTAGCTTATTTCAACAGGAAGGAAACTAGATAGCAGTAACTAAATGATACTGGACAGTTAGGAAAGTCAGCGTGACTTTGCTTTTCTTTTCACCTAACAAAAAACAATAATTTCGACTGTGGGATTATGCAGTGTGCAGAGTATGGGCCACAGTTGTGCTTTTGATGAAGATGACTGCTAGTGGGAGGACTTCTAGGATACAGTTAACAATGATTGTCAGCAAATTTAGTGACAGTCTTTTGCAGAAATGAAAGAAATGAATGGACAAGGAGAAGACAATAATAAATTGAATGTAGGTATGTAGTGCAATTTAAACTGATTAATCTCACAGAATCCATTAAATATATACTTGCATATATTAGTAATATTTTTTTTCCATATAGAATACTTGTACCTTCCACTACATTTTTATATTCAGAATATTGGTACAGTTTTAGCAGACCTGCTTTATTAGACTATATGCAGTGATAACTATTGTGCTTATTCATACAAACTTTCTTGTAGATTTTTGATAGGTATGAGTATATAAATACTTCTTAAATTTTCAGGTAGTGCTACTGCAATTGCATTGTAGTTTGCAAGACATGTGTCTAAAATGTATTGTAAAATCCAAAATCTAGAATATGAACATATAAATTGTGATATCTCTTGATTTGTGATCCTGTATTTCATATTTGTTTTTTTGTGGGTTTATTTATTTAAGATTTAATGTTCATATGTCAAACAAATTGTTATGAATTTATGAATGAATGCACATAACTTTTTGTGTATACTTATGACCTTATTTGTAAGCTTAAAACCTTGTGTAAAGTGTGACAGTTGTTATTTGAAGTTTATACCATACATCATTAATTTTTGGCATTTTGGGAAAGAATATCCATAAAGAGGTTCCTGAAAAAAAAAAAAATGTACCAAGTGATCAATAGACAGACACATTGTCGTGATGAAGACTCCGTCCATATAAGCACTAGATGCAGCGATAAAGAAATGTTATTCTTTAAAAATGTTTTATTTTCCCATATAATTGAAAGAAAACCATTACCTGTTTTTATAAGCTTATAAGACACCAGATTTCTAATTGTTTCTGCTAATGCTGTTGGTTTCTCTGTTTTCTTTGAGATCTAGAAAATATTTCCATGGTCAAAGAAAACAATTTGCAAATGTGTGAAGGGAAAGATGGAGAACCACAAGATTTAGTGCTTAAATCTTGAATGAATTTACTCACTGGCTGAATTATAGATGCATGGAAAATGAGAAAAAATAACAGCATATTAGGAAAAGAAGAAAAATTAATAGTATAAGAATGGAAAATAGAGAAAAGGAATTTATGGACAAAATAGTGAGGAGTGACAGGCAAGAAATAGAAACAATAAAATCTTTAAGAAAAGAGCAAGAGCAAATGCAATAAAAAGTGTCATACATGTTGACATATCTTGCTCAAAAAAGTTTAGATGGAAGATGATTGCAGAAGGGAGCAAAATGAGTCATGTAAAAAGAAAAAAACTGACAAAAAAAAATGGGTAAATGTTTTCAAAATGAATCAGTCTAACTAATCACACAAACATTAATAGACGAACAACAAAGTAAAGAGAAGTAGAACTGAAATGGAACATAACTTACAAGTTGTAATAAAGTTGAGCCAGAAGACATAAGTACGAAAAGTGAAAAAAGATAGAAGGGTGGAAGTCAAAGTGTTAGTGGAGAAGCTGACAAAAAGAAAACACATTAGCCGACCTTGTGATATAAACATCATCGACTGTGCCTCATTAAGCGAGTTTGAGGTCCAATAATCCGTGTTCTCTTGCAACCGGTGGCCCAATATCCGGTCATTAAGGAGCTACTTGAATATAACCATAATCAAGGTACCATAATTCGTTAATTCACCGTCTGGAGAGGAGGTGAAGCTGGTGGAGGAAGAGAGAGGAAAGGAAAGGAAACAAGGGAAAAGCGCTATAAAAATGAGAGAATGTTATGCAGATGGAAAGCGAGGAAGAGAGACGTATACAAGTAAATAGAAAGAGAAGAAAGGAAGAGAGAGAGAGAGAGAGAGAGAGAGAGAGAGAGAGAGAGAGAGAGAGAGAGAGAGAGAGAGAGAGAGAGAGAGAGAGAGAGAGAGAGAGCAAACGAATGGAAAGAGGAAGGGCAGGAAGAGAGAGAGAGAGGAAAGGAGGAAGGGAGGGAGGGAGGGAGGGAAGAAGATTCTAGTCACTAAATCATTTCCTTGAGCCCGAAAAATCCATTTTAATATGCGCCCTATTATCCACACCCAGGCCCTTGTTTCACGGAACGGTGCCCGCCCCTTTGACTGACCGACGACGATAACTTTAATTAAAACTTAATCAAACTACGACGAAAATAGAGAGGAAAAACACCAGCCGAAACTTGCGCCCGTTTCATGACTGAGAGAACCGCCTAATTAGATTCTCGCGTAATCTACCGGCGATGGAACCGGTGATACTGAAGGAGAGGAGGGCCTGGTGGTGATGGAGGAGGGGGGTGGGGGTGATGGAGAG